AATATTCTCTCGCCTTCAATTTTTTGGAATAATTTGAGTAGAACTGGTATTAGTTCCTCTTTAAATGTTGGTAGAATTCAGCAGTGAACCCATCAGATCCTGGTTTTTTCTCTGATGGGAGACTTTATTACTGCTTCAGTCTCATTTCTTGTTATTGGTCTGTTCAGGTTTTCTGTTTCTTCATGGCTCTGTCTTGGTATTTATATTTGTACAGGAATTCATCCATTTCTTCTAGATTTTCCAACTTATTTGTGTATAGTTGTTTATAATAGTCTCTATTGGTTCATTGTATTTTTGTAGTATCAGTTGTTTCCTTTTTCATTTCTGATTTTATTTGGGTCTTCTCTATTTTTAGTTAGTCTAGCTAAAGGACTGTCAATTTTTTTATCTTTTCAAAAAACCAACTTTTATTCATTAATTTTTTAGTTTTTTTGGTCTCAATTTTATTTTGCTCTGATCTTTTTAGTTTATTTGTTTCCTCCCACTAATTTTGGGTTTGATTTGTTCTTATTTTTTGAGGTCAGTCATTTATTTCAAGTGTTGGTACTACTTTCTTGATGTAGGTGTTTTTTGCTATAAATTTCCCCTTAGTATGCTTTTTTTGTATCCCATAGATTTTGGTATGTTGCATTTCCATTTTCATTGTTTCAAGTAATTTTTAAATTTCTCTCTTAGCTTCTTTATTGACCCATTGATCATTCAGGAGCATGTTTAATTTCCATGTGTTTATATAGTTTCCAAGGATTTCCTGTTACTGATTTCTAGTTTTATTCCATTGTGGTCAGAAAAGATACTTGACATGATTTCGACTCTTTTGAATTTGTTGAGACTTGTTTTGTGGCTAAGATACAGTCTGTGCTGGAGAATGTTTCATGTGCTGATGAGAAGAATGTGTATTCTGCAGCAGCTGGGTGAAATGTTCTATAAATGTTAGGTCCATTAGGTCAAGTGTGTAGTTTAACTCTGATGTTTCTTTGTTGATTTTCTTTTGGGATGATCTGTCCATTGCTGAGAGTAGAATTTTGAAGTCCTCTGCTATTAATGTATTGTAGTCTATGTTTCCCTTTATATCTATTAATGTTTGATATATTTGTAAATGTTTCAGTATTGAGTGATATATATTTATAATATCTTGCAGAATTGACCCCTTCATCATTATATAGTGACTTTCTTTGTCTCTTTTTATAGTTTCTGACTTGTAGTCTGTTTTATCTGATATAGCTGCTCCTGCTCCTTTTTGGTTTCTATTTGCATGGAATATCTTTTTCTACCCCTTTACTTTTCAGTCTGTATGTGTCTTTATAGGTGAAGTAAGTTTCTTGTAAGCAGCATATAGTTGAGTCTTGTTTTTTTTTTTTTCTTTTTCCATTCAGCCACTCTGTCTTTTAAGTGGAGCATTTACATATAATGTTAGTATTGTTAGGTAAGGGCTTACTACTGCCATTTTGATACTTGTTTTTGGTTGATTTGTAACTCCTCCCTTCCTTTCTTACTGTTTTCCTTTGTGGTTAAGTGATTTTCTTCCTTTTTGGTTAAGTGTTTTAATTTGTTGCTTTTTGTTTTTTACTGTATCTATTATAAGTTTTTGCTTTGTGGTTACCATGAGGCTTACAAAAAACATCTTGTAGATATAACAAGTTCTTTTAAACAGATAAAAGCTTATTTTTGATCACAAAGAAAAGAACAGAAATAAAGAAAGGAAAAACTAAAAAAAACGGTATAATTTAATTCCACCCCCACACACACATTTTAACTCATCTCAATTTACATCTTTTTATATTGCTGGTCTCTTAGCAGATTGTTGCAGCTATTATAATTTTTGATAGATTTGTCTTTTGGGTTTTATACTAGAGTTATGAGTGGATTGCACACTACAGTTACAGTATTCAAATATTCTGGGTTTGTCTATGCACTTAATTTTAGCACTGGGTTTTATACCTTCATATGTATTGTGGTTTTTTTGTTTTGTTTTGCATGTAGTGTCTTTTATTTCAGATTGAAGAACTCCCTTTAGCATTTATTATAAAACAGGTCTAGTGGTGATAAATTCCTTCAGCTTTTGTTTGTCCGAAAGACTTTATCTCCCCTTCATGTTTGAAGGATAGCTTTGCTGGGTACAGTATTCTCAATTGGCAAGTTTAGGTTGTTTTTTTCTTTTAGCACTTTGAATGCGTCATCCTACTCTCTAATGTCCTGTATGGTTTTTGCTGAGAAGTCTGTTGCCAGAAGAATCAGAACTTCTGTACAGGTTGTTTGTTTCTTTTCTTTTGCTGCTTTTAGGATCCTTTCTTTATCCTTCACCTTTCAGAGTTTGATTATTATATGCCTCAGGATGGTCTTAATTTATTTGAATCTGTTTGGTGATCTCTGACCTTCCTGTATCTGGATATTTATAGTCTTTCTCTAGGTTTGGATAATTTTCTGTTACTATTTCTTTGCATAAGCTTTCTACCCCTTGCTCTTTCTTCAACTCCCTCTTGAAGTCCAATGATTCTTAGATTTGTTCTTTTGAGGAAATTTCAATATCTCATTAGGTGTTCTTTGTTCCTTTTCATTCTTTTTTCTTTTTCTCTTTTGACTGTGTATTTACAAATAGCCTGTCTTGGTACTCACTGATTTTTTTTCCTTTGTTTGATCCATTACACTGTTAAGAGCCTCTAATACATTTTTCAGTTCAGAAACTATATATCTTGGTTCAGGATTTTTAATTTTTTGTTTAACTTTTCAAACTCAATGTTAAATTTCTCTGATAAATTTCCAAATTTATTTTCTGTGTTATCTTGGAGTTCGCTGAGTTTCCTTAAATCTGCTAATTTAGGTAGTGCACAGTGGCTCACACCTATAATCCTAGCACTTTGGGAGGCCAAGGTGGGAGGATCACTTGAGGCCAGGAGTTCGCGACCAGTCTGGACAACATGGCAAGATCCTGTCTCTACAAACAAATAAATAAATAAAATTTTTTATGATCCTGTTATTTTGAATTCTTGATCTGAGCGCTCACATGTCACCATCCTGTTAGGGTCAGTCACTGGCTCCCTGCTTTGTATATTTGGGAAAGTCATGGTTCCCTGGTTGCTATTGTTTCTCATGCGCCTATGTTTTTGTATTGAAGGATTTGTTATTTATTTTCATCTTCACTGTCTGGCTTGTTTTGTTTTTTTCTTGGATATGTTTGCTTAAGAGATTCTTTGCAATTTACCTGTTGAATTTCCTTTATGCTAGGTCACTGCCTCCTTTTTCACACTAGGTGACGGCTTAATCCCCAATTTGCCTCAGCTCTCACAAATGTTGAGTGCTGCCTGTCCCATGGGGGGAGGTCCCAAAAGCGATACCCTGACTGTGTGGACAGACTGGCTAGGGGTTCTTGCCCAGGGGGCCCATGAAGCATGCTTTCTTCAGTGTGGTGCTGTTGAACAGTCACTCTGATTTAGCATCTTTGGCGGAGATAAAGAGCAAAGTTTTGGAGGCTGGGTTTGCTATTCCCACTTCTACCCTTTGTCTCTGGCTGCCCTCAGGGGTTTTTCTCCCTACTGGCACTTGCATTGCTGTCTGTGTGTTGAGGCAGGAACAGTTTTCCTGCAAGGGAACCCAAGATGGTTGGGTAGCTGGCTGTCCACCTTGATCTCACTTTTTCCAGTGTAGAAACTGTGAGCCCAGGGAAAATTCTCTCTATGCAGTGCCTTACTGATTAGGGGAGGGGCATTGCAAATATAGAAGTCTGATTTTCTTAAAAACTCTGCTCAGAGTTTTTTCACTTTTCTGTGGTCCCAGGGATTGTCTCATCCTCAGATTTGTGTTCTGGGGTATTGTTGGCAATACTCTTGGCACTGAGTGTTTGTTTATAGTTTTCTATGGAAGGAAGTGAAGCCAGATTGCTTCTACTCTGTCATTTTGGTGACATCACTCTCTCTGATTATTTCTTTTTCTTTTTTTTTAAGAAAACAAAATTCATTTTGGAATGCATTTAAATTGGATAGGATGAATATGACTGTATACTTTTCTTTTTTTATTTCAAAATATTAAGGGGGTACAAATGTTTTTGGTTACATGGATTGCTTTTGTAATGCTTGAGTCACAGCTATAAGTGTGCCCATCACCCAAATAGTGTTCACTGTACCTTTTAGGTAGGTTTTTGCCCATCCCCTCTTCCTATTCCCCCCTGCTTCCTGATTATTTCTTTTTTTTTTTTCCTTTGAGACGATTTCACTGTGTTGCCCGGGCTAGAGTGCCGTGGCGTCATCCTAGCTCACAGCAACCTCAAACTCCTGGGCTCAAGCAATCCTTCTGCCTCAGCCTCCCGAGTAGCTGGGACTACAGGCATGTGCCACCATGACCGGCTAATTTTTTGTATATATTTTTAGTTGTCTGGTTAATTTCTTTCTATTTTTAGTAGAGACGGGGTCTCGCTCTTGCTCAGGCTGGTTTCGAACTCCTGAGCTCAAACAATCCGCCCGCCTCGGCCTCCCAGAGTGCTAGGATTACAGGCGTGAGCCACTGTGCCCGGCCCCTGATTATTTCTTGATAATAAATTCTGGGTTATGGACTTACTCTGAGTCTCCCTCATTGCATGAATGCCTAAATTAACTATACCATTTGTGATCCTGAATTATCATCAATCACTTAAGAACCTTAATTTTAATTCCTAGTTCATTTTAACATCCTTAATATTGGTTCCTTCTTATTATTTTCATCTAAACCTAAACATAAAATTATATCAGTATTATGGATATTCTTGAGTTCCTTTACTTATTAAGTTTTGAATACATGCAATTATAAGCTATGGTTTCCCCATTTTACAGCTATTTTATTTGTTATATTTTTAGGTTTGTGACACATTAAAGTTCTTGGAGCTTACGCCCATTTAAAAACAACCATAATACCGAAGTTCTTGAATGAAACAGCTCAACAGAAACTATAAAAATGCCTTTATGTATAGTATCATTAGAACAGCATGTCCTAGACATACATATCATAATTATGTTTTAAAAAATTTCTTACAGGCAAAATGCCAGCATTACAAGAAAAAACGAATGGAGCAACAAGAAAATATTGCTGCTTTGCAAAAGCATGTCTATAGATTAAAAAAGGAGGAAGAAGAGCGCATTGTCACTCAAAACAGAGTGTTTGCCTGTCTCTGCAAAAGAGTTCCTCATACCGTCTTGGATAGACAGTAATATTTACTACATTAATTGATATATAGTTAGATTCATCTTTTTTTTTTTTTTAACTTATTTTGTCTTGGGGTGGTTATACCTCTTATAAACTGTCTCTCCTCTTCTGCTTTTTTTCCCCTGCTCATCCTGTACGTTTTTTTTTTTGCCTTAGAGCTCTTTTGAAGAATAGAATCAGACATTTGCTAAAAATAACACTAAATATTTAAAATTAACTCAAATTCAAAATTAATTACAACATTTCTCAAAAGAACTCTGATTCCTTTTAAGGAAGAATGATATTTAGAGACCACTGGATGAGTGTTGAAGTTGCTTTTTTTTATTTTGTTGTTACTGATTTTAGGACTTTTCAGTGGAAATAACTAGGAACTATATATTTCTGGGGAAAAACAAATTATTGATTTTTTTTCTAGCTTAAGTTAACGTATTTTTATTTAAACTCTTTGATATTACTTTTGTAACTCTTTTAAATGTAACACTAAAAAATTATTATTCCTAAGAAAAATATCATATTTACTTATTTTCTTTATCCTATAATACATAAAAATAGTTTCAAAAGAATAATACCAGAATTTCTAACAATAAGTGTACTGAATGAAATTTAAATTTCTTTGCAATTCTCTTTGTTGTTCGTATATTCCAGTATGGATGCGGTCAAAATGTGGTTTTCTGAAATACCTTGAAATACTTATTTTCTCTGTGTGTTTATGTCACCAAATTAAGAAGCAGTTAGGTTTATTTGTTTCAATTTCTTTTCAATTTTTAGGGGTTGCTTTTTTAAATTTATTTTTTAGTATGGAATTCATATTCATAATTACATAATGTCGAAGTCAAAACTATAATTATTTATATTCAGAGAAGTTGTGTTTACCTCCTCCATAAGTAACTGATTTTAAATGTTTAATGTTTAGCAATACAGACAGTATGGATCTTATCTTCATATTCTCCTTCATGTATAAAAGGTCACACCTTGTTTTCTTCACTTAGCAGTATAAACTGATTGCATTTTAAAGTTTTATGTGTTTAGTAGGATTGGGAATCTTTACTAATTATTTCTATTTTACTATAAAAATAAATGAGGTAAGATATGAAGTAAAAACAAGTTAAAACTATAAATTGTTTTGATAATTATTTAAGAGATAACATATAATACACATGTACATATATATGATTTTCATCCTTTTGAGGGAAAAGTGAGGACAAACACATTAATTCATAATAACAAATATAGAGATAGGTGTGAATAAATAGAAGAGGGAAGCAAGGAAAGAAAAATAGAGGCAAGGAAGAACAAAGAGAAGGAGAGAAGCAGTGAGAGAAAGACAATTACAATGGGAAGAAGAATGTAGTGAGAGAAATGGGGGTGAATGAAGAAAACAGAAAACAGCCAAATATGAGTGAGTGAGAGGGTAATAGAAATATTAAGAGAACTTGTTATGTTTCAGATGAAGTCAAGGTAATTCAGGTATGAATTTTTCCAATGGGCCAGAGTTTATCCATTCTATTTGATTTTTAATAATGCAGAATTTCAGTTTGAGATACTGAAATAAAAATTGTGAATGAACCCTATTAGAAATACATGAGTTGTAGCTACTACAACTTGTCAAAAGTTACACAGGTACTGGGCTAAGTAATATAGGGCATACACACACATGAGTGAAGCCATGATCCTGCATTCAGTGACCTGAATAGTAGTAGTAGTCTAGTCAGGTAGATAGAAACATACTCAGGTAAATAAAATATAAGGCAGATAGTGGTATGTACTCTAATGGTGGAGCAGATAGGATACTTGGTGTTACGTAAGGAGAAATAAGTAAAAGGTTGGGGTCTTAATGAAGGAGGTAACTTTTCAGCTAGACTGTTAGGAACTATAGAATTTTAATAGGCAGAGGTAAGGGAAAGAATGTCTCAGAGGAATATGGTATCAGGAATAGTGGATGTATTTGGAAATGGCAAGTAGTCTGAAAGGTCTGGAACATAATAAGGTACATGAGATGATGGGAAGAGTCTTAGGAGACAACGTGGAAGGTGTGCTGGAACTTTGAGGGACTTAAATTTCTGGATGAAGAGTTTGGGTTCTACTTCCCATGTAGCAAGAAAAATACCCCCAAGATTTCTGAGCAAGGAAATTAAACCCACAGACAGAAAGACAGGTTAGTAATTGGTTGTAATAGTCTAGGTAAGGACTAATGAAGGCCTGAACTAGGACCAAAAGAAAGGGAGAGATACTGTAGAGATGGATAGGAATTGTCCAGACTGATTGGTGGCTGTAGATGTTGAAAGGAGGAGAGGAGTCCAAAGATAGTTAATTTTTAGGCTCAGTTTGAAGGAATGGGGAAGGAAGATGATGAATTCATTTTTACACATATGCTTAGATACCTTTGGTCAGCTGTGTAGAGACACCAGGCCTGTTGTTAGAAGGACCAAACTCCACAGAACTTCCAGATTTCATACAGAGAAAGAATAGGCAAAAGAGTTGTGTTTGGGTATCATGATAACCAAGGAACAAGTGTTTCAAGGACAGGGTGGTTGGAAGTCTTATGTGCTTCCTTATCATTTTATTTGCTTACCTTCCTGCTGTCTTACTTGGTCAGAATTCCCAGTACTTGACACATAGTAAGTCCTCCCTAAAAGTTTATTGAAGGTAGTTGGTAACAATCACTCAGATTGAATGAAGTTTGCCATGAAAGAAAAGTTTAGAAATAAAATGGTAGCAGAAGTAGGTGGTGAGAGGGTTTGTGTAGGATACAAAGAAAATTAAAGCATATTTGCAGGATAATGTGAAATTCAGTGTATGTTGAGATGGGGAAAGGTTGAAGAGAAGGAAAGAGTAATCCAGAAAGTTACGATATTATTATAAAAGCACAATTGGCTGAATTAGGTCTGAGAAAGGGGATGGGTTGGTAATATTAGGTCATTAAATATGAAATATCTGATTTCAAATCAAAAGTGTAGGTTATTATATCTCAAATAGGAAGCGGTAGAATTAAAGTATGCGCCTAAACTATTGTATCGACATGGTTTTGCCATCTCAATGGTAGCTTGTTTATGCCAGCAGCAAAGAAGCCTGGCAATGAAATCACAAAAGGCGTTTTCCATAGCTTGTTGAGAATTGAATATTTTTCCTTGCAAGAAGTGACCCAAACCCTGGAAGAAGTAGTAGTCAATTGGTGCAAGGTCTGGTGAATACAGCAGATAACAGAGAGTTTCCAAGTCCAGCTTCTGTAGTTTAAGTGGTGTTTGTGTAACGTGGTTAAGCGTTGTCTTGCAAGAAGATTGATCTGTCTGTTTCTATTGACCAGTCTTGGCTGCTTAATCACAAGCATCCTCATCATTTCATCCAACAGGTTGCAGTAGACATCTGGTATAATCGATTGACCAGGGTTCATGAAGCTGTAGTGGATAATACCAGCACTGGACCACCAGACAGACACCATTAATTTTTTTTTTTTGAGGAATATTCGGTTTTGGTCTGTGTTTCAGCACTTCATCTTTATCCAGCCATTGTGCTGAATGCTTGTAATTGTCAAAAAGAATCCATTTTTCATCACATGTAACAATTCGATGTAGAAATGGCTTGCCTTTATGTCATAACAGCAAAGAAAGGCAAGCTTCGAGACCATTTCTCTTATGCTCGTTTAATTCATACAGAACCCATCTATCCAGCTTCTTGACCTTGCCAATTTATTTCAAATGGTCCAATATTGTTGGAATAGTAATGACAAACTTTGCTGCTAATTCATATGTAGGTCGAGATGGATTCACTCAGGTTGACCACATGGTTTATTTTTCAAGATTAAAATCACCAGAAGGAACTTCTCAAACCATCGATGTACTATGCATTCATTAGCCACATCCTTCCCAAACACTTGGTTGATATGTCGAGCTGTCTGCACTGCATTGGTTCCACGATGGAACTCATATTTGAAAATAACACAGATTTTTGACTTATCCATGGTTTCACAAAAATTGCTCTAAAAAGTTTTTTAAAGATAATCACAAGCCAAAACGTGTGTTTGCAAAACTGAGGATGTACCTTCTCAATGATAATAAAACAAGAAATGTCAAATTGAAATGTCAGAGATATCAACTGTCAAACTTAGTACTTAAGGAAATCAAACATTTCATAATTAATAAAATAGTTTCCCAAATAGGGTAACAGTATAAATTGTTCCTTTAAAAAGAATAACATGTAAAAGTATGGTGTATTTTATTTTTCTCTCGATTTTTTAAAATTTTAAAAGTAATACATGCTTATAAAAATTCAAACAACATAAAAGTATATAAAGTAAAATGTTACCTGCTTGCCCTCCTATTTTCTTCCTCACAGAGATAACCTCTCTTAACGGTTTGGTGTGTGTCCTTTCTATAGTTTCTCAATAGTGATGCTGTTGGCATTTTGAGTGGGACAGTTCTTCACTCTGGAGTGTTGTCATATTCACTGATGAACTTGTAGCATTCTGCCCCTTCCCCGACTAGTCAGTGAGACAACCAACACTGCCCTTCACATGCTCCCTAGGTTATAATATTATTCCCCAGTTAAGAACCTGTAGATTCTCAGGGAGATGGATTTGAAGAAGAAAAAAGAAAAATAAAAAAAAGACAAATAAAAAAAAAAGAACCTGTAGAGTTCTTTTTCAATACACATACAAATTCATATACAACTTTTTTTTTTCTTTTTTACAAAGGTAGAATAATAGACATTTGGTTATGCAACGTTAATTTTTTCATTCATCAGTCCTTATTAGGACATAAATTTACATTATTTCTTCTAATGCTCCATTATTTTTCCATAGTATGGATGTGCCATTATTTATTTAACTTTTCCCCTGTTTAAGGACAGTTAAATTGTTTCTGGTTTCACTCTTATAAATAACGGTGCAGTGAACAACTTTGTTCATCATATTGAGTTGCATCGTTTGGCAAATATTTCTGTGGGAGATACTGCTAGAGATTTAGGACAGGAGAATATACATTTAGTATGTTGAGATACAATGTTTGTGGTTAAAGATCTGTACTTTGAAATTAATATATAAAATATATGACTTAGTATATAATATTTGCTTCTGGTAAGAATCACTTAAATTTTTTTAAGCCTGCCAGATAATCTGTACTTACTTTTATCACTGTAATTTGAAATTATGTAGAATACTAATGTATGCTCTAATGCCTCATTTTGAAAATAATTCAATATATTCTGTTTTCTAGGTTGCTTTGCTTGATTGATTACTATGAATCTAAAATTAGAAAAATCCATACACAAAGGTATAAATAATCCTATATTACAATTTTTAAAGTTATTATCTGCCAGGTACAGTGGCTCCCGCCTGTAATCCTAGCACTCTAGGAGGCCAAGGCAGGAGGATCTCTTGAGCTCAGGAGTTCAAGATCAGCTTGAGCCCTGAGCAAGAATGAGACCCTGTTTCTACTAGAAATAGAAAAAAATTAGGTGGGCATGGTAGTGCATACCTATAGTCCCAGCTACTCAAGAGGCTGAAGCAGGAAGATCACTTGAGCCCCGGAGTTTGAAGTTGTTGTGAGCCAGGCTGATGCCATGGCACTCTAGCCCAGGCAACAGAACAAGACTCTGTCTCAAAAAAAAAAAAAAAAAAAAAAAAAGTTTAATAATTATATTAAAAGTTTCTGTAGCCTTTTGAAACTAAGTATGTTATGGAAATCTACCTAATGTCATTAGGAAGGTCTTTTTTATAAAGATCTTGAAGACTGTAATTTATGTTAAAATGTCTTATTTATATTAAAATATGTATATTTAATAATCACCAAAGTATTGGTCACAGCAGAAAGGATATTTCCTTTTGTTGAAGTATTATAATTTATTCTACTGATGTCATCTAGCTATTGAATATTAATAGTTAATATATCCACAAAGTGCATAGAATTAGATGTGTTGCCTACCAAAGTACACCCAAATTAGCATGCAGATTAATGAGATGACGATAAAATGTCAGTGAAAACTCAAGCATATGGATTAAAACACACTTCTCACCTCTGAATAAAGAAATAAGGATAGAGTATTAAAAATATTATAATCTCATAATTTTCATGTTGATTAATATATTAAGCACATATGATCTAAAATGCTTTCATATGAGGTCACTAAAACATAGCTAATCTGTCTTATTAGTTGGAGATGGAACAGTTCTTTCAATGAATATTTATTTGAGCCCCTATTTTGTGCCATATTCTGTTTCAGGTAGTTAGGATTCTGTAATAAACAAAGCAGATAAATTCCCCACTTTCATGAAGCATGTGTGCTAGTATTCTTGCCCCAAGGATAATGACTCCAGAAATTTGGAAAGACTAGTGGCAGAGCTGTGCTGGTTGCTGATTCCTTCTAGTACTTTGGGGACTCAAAAAAAAAAAAAAAAAAAAAAAAAGGAGGTGGAAAGGAAAAGAAAGGGAAGGAGGAAGGAAGAGAAGAAAAGAAAATGCTTTTTAATGATAAAAGCAACTCCTTGCTTCATTCTATTCATATAGCAGCATTATATCAAGTAACTTCAGGGACCTTCCATCTACTAAATGAAACTGTTCTAGATGGTAGACGTGGTGCTAGATAGGTTCTATAGAGATAGGACATTTTGGACATGGTCCTTAACCTTCCAGGAGTTACAATCTAATAAGAATGATAAAATGTAAACACATTAATAATTAAGAAAAATAATATGAGACTTAAACACTAAAAAACAGTGTCAATAAAAATAAAAATTTTTAAAAAGAAAAAACATAGTGTTATAATTGAGTAATTACTAAAAATTGTACAGACAGTAAATACTATAGGAATTTAGCAGGAGCAAGTCAGTTTTGGTTGGAGTGACCAGGGAAGTCTTTATAAAGCAGATGTAGATTGTGCTTGAACTTAAAGGAAAGGTAAAATTTGGAAAAGCACAAAAGAAAAAAAAAATAAAGCCATCTTAGACTGCTTGGATGCTATGAGCAAAACATATATAGATACAAAACTGTGAGACTTGCTGAGTGCAGTGGCACATGCCTATAATCCCAGCTACTTGGAAGGTTGTAGTGGGAGGATCGCTCAATTGAGCCCAGGAGTTATAAGGCCAGCTTGAGCAACATAGCGAGACCCTGTCTCTTAAAAAAAAAAAAAGTGTAAGACTTTTTTTTTTTTATGACAGTAATTAAGTAAGCCAATCTGCCTGGAGTTCAAGGGATTTGTTGGTATGTTCCTCAGTAGGGTGGGTAACCTATGGAGAGCAGTCATTTAAAGTGCTGGGCAAGAATAGGCTGTAACTGAACAAGGAGACATCAGTTGCCTTGGAAAGAAGGAAGGTACTGCTTCCTTAAATACAGAAAAACAGGTTGGTGTGGGTATAGTTACCTGTATTGTTAATAGTAAGCTTTCTCAAGAGAAACAAAACCAAAAGATCATGTATGTATATAGAGATTTAAGGAATTGACTCACAATTATGGGACTGGAAAATTCAAAATTGTGGAGGGCAGGCTGGCAGTGTGGAGACCCAAGGAAGAGTTGATGTTTTCAGTCTTAAAGCTGAAGGCAGTCTAGAGGCAGAATTCCTCAGGGAATCTTAGTGTTTGCCATTGAAGCCTTCAGCTGATTGGATAAGGCCCACCCACATTATGACAGGTAATCTGCTTTACTCAAAGTCTACTGATTTAAATGTTAATACTTAAAAATACTTTATAGCAACATCTAGACTTGGTGTTTGACCAAACAGCTGGGTGCTGTATCCTAGCCAATTTGACACATAAAATTAACCATGACAGTATGTAAGAGTAAAGAGAAGGAAAATGAAGAATTTCATGGCTTGACAGGTTGTAAACTTTTACTCTTGCAGAGTGAGGAAAACAATGGAAATGATGAAGCAGGTTAGTGGGGGACTACAGGAAATTGGAGAGTTGTGCCCCATCTGTCTTAAAGACGGCAATTACTACAGAGCTCTAGGCAGTTGATGCCGTACAGGAATGTGAGCCCGGTGTGTCTAGATCAACTGACTTTTCAAGAGAAGTCAGAAGGTTGGATTTGTAAATGCAATCAGATTTTTAATGTTCACAATTAATTCAGTGTTTTAAAAAAAATCTTACATGATCCAAACTGAATATGAGTTGTAACTTTTGGTCTATGTCTTTAGATATTATATGTACTAATAATATTAGGTAGTAGTGTTCTAATACCATTCTCTATGAGAACAAGTAGGAAATTTGGATTAATTTTAATTCATGTTTATTAAACCCTCATTAGATTCGTTTAATTTTTGTTAGATTCTTTTCTTTGAAGATAACTTTTTCATAAGACATACTGCATGTATATGTTCATAGGCAATATAAAGAAGATGAAAGTCTGTCAGAAGAAGAAAAAGACTACAGAAATCTGGATGCCTCACCAACTTATAAAGGCCTTCTAATGGTATGGGGGCTGCATCACTAATAAATGCTTTTTAATGAAGTAAAATAATCTCCCAGGAAAGCTAATTATTTTTCTGTGAAATGTGTTACAGTCATTACAGAATCAACTGAAGGAATCAAATTCTAAGATTGATGCACTTTTAAGTGAAAAACTGAACCTCCAAAAAGATTTGGAAACCAGGTGAGAGAAACTTAGGTAATTTTTCCTTATTCTTTGAAAAGGAAAACATACTGGAATTTAGAATATTAAATGAACCATTCTAGCCCCTTTACTCTAAAACTAATCTTGGGTACCTCATACTCTTGTACTCATGTTAGTTGTCTCATGGTAAGTGATGGAAAGAACAGGAGCACATGAGTAGGCAAGGGAAATGAGAAAATAGGAGTCCGCATTGAAGAAGATAAAACTGGGTAAGAACTTTGAGTAGATTCAGTTGTTTTAAAAAATAGCTTTATTGAATTATAATTGTACAATACACTGTATATATTTAAAGTAGACAATTTCGTAAGTTTTGACATATGTATATACCTGTGAAACAATTACAATGGAGAAAATCACCCTAACAATCACAGTCAAGGTAATTACCCTGAAAGTTTTCTCTTACCCCATTTGTAATCACTTCCTCCTGTCCTTTCTGTCCCTCTTGCCTTTGCTTCTGGTAACCACTGATCTGCTTTCTGTCATTATACATTAGTTTATGTTTTCTACACTTTATATAAATGGAGCTGTACAATATTTACTCTTTTTTTGACTTCTTTCACTCAGCATAATTATTTTTTTAATTTTAAATTCTTAATTGCAAATTGACACATAATAGTTATAAATATAGGGCACAGTTATGATTTATGAATACAATATGGAATAATTAAATCAGGCTAATTAACATATCCGTCACCTCAAATACTTATTTTCTGTGGTGAAGACATTTGAAATTTACTCTTGGTGATTTTGAAATGTACAATACATATGTCAATTTATGGTTATATAAATATGTAGTAAAAATTTTAAAACATACATGGGAATAATGAACAATGAATTCAGGATAATGGTTCCCTATGGTATAGAAAGGAGAGGAATGCATTAATGAGGGACACATGGAGTTTTTTAAGTATATGTATTAATAGAATGTTTTAGTTAAAAAGGCTTGAAACAAATCTCTTAATATTCAACTTTCATAAAGCTGGGTGGTGGATACACCAGGATTTGTTGTAGTGTTCTCTATTTTAGTTTGTATGTTTGAAATAGTTCAGTGTAAAAATAAGTAATAGACTAACAACAACAAAAAGTAAGTAAAAGGTTTTGAATAAGGAACTACACAGTAGAAAAAATTTAAATGGCTAATAAACACCTCATTAGCAGTCATGAAATATTTTAAGAATTTTAATAAGCATATTTGCGACAAGTAAACAGGTATTCTCTTTTGTTTATTACTAAGTACTTTTATAGTTTTATTCAATAAATTGAATGCATTCAACATGACTTATTTTCTACAGGCCCACACAACATGAATTAAGACTTTATAAACAACAGGTGAAGAAACTGGAAAAAGCCCTTAAGAAAAACATCAAGTAACTATACTTTACCAAAGTTACTGCTTTTATTAAATGGGTTTTGTAGTTTATTATTTATTTTTATTACCTGCCAGCTTATCTCATGCTACCTCATAGTGACCTTGGCTTGGAATTACCAGGCTGATGGAGGAAATGACATTGAAAAAGGGATGTTTCTGGTTCCACAGTTTAAAAGCAATTTCCACTATGTTGGATTTTGCTGTATATTCATCTTAAGTGAGAAAAAGGTAGTTACCTGATATAATAAAGGACAAAGATTTTAAATAGAAAATTATCTTTGGAAATAATAGAGGAATTGCAAGAGAATCAATGAAATTAGAGGTGTCAAGCCCCCAAATTTTGGTAATCTTGATCTGAAAATTTTAAAGTGAGCCTCATCACACTTTAAAAGTATCAGAAGGAATGTTCATATCCACCACTTGTACCCTTCCTGGCTTTGAAAAGCAAGTGCCCAGAGGCGTTTCAAAAAGTTGATCTTAAGTAGTGATGGTATTTTCTGAAGATTATCTTGTATACTCTTTGATTCAAGGAAATAGGATTTGAGAAAGTAGTTTGGGGAGTATTGGGATGAAATATTTTGAAAACTATACATTAATATATGCATTCAATGTATCGTCAGTTGTATTAGCATATCTGATTCAATTTTCAGTGACAGCTGTGTTTTCTCCTTCCTATAGCAACACATTTCACAGTGAAAGGCAAGTACAGGCATCCAGGAATTACATATTGAGTTAAATTAAGATAGTAGGGAAGGAAAACTAAAGAAGAAAAGAAGTGGAAGGCTTGGAAAGGATGCATTCATTATTCAATGAATAATTATTCCCTTCCTACTATTGCTTGATATTTTGGGTACCTGTAGTACTTCCTACTATCTACTTGGCATTCTAGGCACTGGAGTTATAGTGGTAAACCAAATAGAAAAGGTCTCTGCCTTCATAGAGATTACACAAAGGATAATGAAAAAATAAATAAGACAATTTCAATATAATATAAGTACTAAATGTAAAGCAGTGGGAGAGTAGCTGTTGTATGAGTTTGGACAAGAGGTGGTAGTGACATAGTCAAAGGTGGCAGTAGTGGGGGTGGTGAGAAATGTTTCGAATTGGAGAATATTGTAGGTAGAATTAATAGGATTTCATGATGGATTGAATATGTGGAGTTGAGGGGAAAAAAGAAGAATCAAAAGTCTCCTAAGTTTTAGGCTTGAATAACTAGGTAGTTCATGGTGCCATTAATGAGATGGGAAATTGAGAGAGTAGCAACTGGGAAAAGGAGGATGTGGGGAGGTAAAAAGAAGAGAAGGAAATCTATAGACTCCAAGTGTGTAAGTGAAGATACACACATACATGTATGCACTTACACGCATATAGAGATACACAACCCTCACTATTTGCAAATTCCATATTTATGAATTTGCTTACCTACTAAAATTTATTTATAATCCCAAAATCAATACAGCACTTTCAGTCATTATAGACATGTGCAAAGTGGCAAAAAATTTGAGTCATGCAACACACACATTCTGAGCTGTCAAACAAGATGATGCTGTGCACTCTTGTTTCAGCTCTCATACTGTAAACAAATGACCTTTGGCCATCTATTTGGTGCCCGTTTTATTTGCCTTTTTTTTGCTTTTTGTTGGCAATTTCTTTAAGATGGTCTCCCAAATGTGGTGCTCAAGTGCTGTCTAGTGTTCCTACACACAAGAAAGCTATAATGTGCCTTATGAAAAAAATACACATGTTGGATAAACTTCATTCAGACATGAGTTATAGAGTGCTGTTGGGCATGGGTTCAGTGTTAATGAATCAACAATATATTTTAAGTAGAATGTCTTTAAATAGAAAGACACATAAAACAAAGTTATATATTGATCAGTTAAGGAAAATGTAACCAGAGGCTTGCAGGAACCTGACCCTGTATTTCCCCTGGGACCAATGGTTTAGTATTTGCTAATTCAGTATTCATGATGACTTTAACATAACTATCACAAATAATAAGAATTGACTTGTGTGTATATTTGTATTTTGTTCATTTGAGCTCCTGTCTTTAGAGTGACTTGTTACTGTCCTTTAAAATTGTGATTCAGAGCCAATTCTTGCTATGTTTTTCTGCTGAATTTTGAAGAAATGATTTGCGTTTTTGTAATTTTAACACATTAACTGCCACATGAATTGTATTTAAGTCACACTAGTTTTGAGCCCGGGGCCTTGTGAAGCATATGTAACTCACACGTCTCTTCACCTTGGGAGCTGCGAGAACTATTTTTCAAATTGCATATAACTCACACACAGAAAATAATAAAAAATAACAAATTTTTCATTAAATTAGAAAGGGTCGTTTTGTTTTCAAAGTTTTTATTCTATTTTCACAATAAAACACCATGGCCCCAAGGGAAAAAATTTTTTTTCTAGTATGGCAGTCAAAGTGTTAAAAATAATTGTTCTTTTCTGTCTCTCTCTCTTTTTAAGTTTAGAACTTTTGCAGTATCTAGATGTGGAAACAGATTTGGGAATGTTAGATAACTTGCTCATGTCACACAGGTGGTATGTGGAAGAACTTGAATAGAAATTAGATCCTTACCCAATCATTCTTGATGTAGGGGGCGCCCCAATGAAAGGAGGAAAGCCCCCTGAACTTGCCAAGTGGGTTCTTGGTTTTGTGCTGGAAAGAATTCTAGAACAAGCCAACTCATGACAGAAAAGTTTATTGAGAGAGAGACAGACAACAGATCCTACTCTGTAGACTGAGTAAGGGTCCTCTCCTGAGCAGGAGGGGGATCCCTTATGGGGCAATGGTAATGTTTTTAAATGTTCAGAAACCCTGTTGGGAAACAGCCATAGGTGACCAGCATTGTCTTGAGGTTAGGCCATAAAGGTTACATGTAACTGCTCTCATAGTAGGGTAAGCGCAAACAGTTTGTAAGGCATCCAGCTTAGCAATTTATCCATCCTGGGGTGGTCCCGGGCCAGCAACTTCTTGTTGACTTCCCTGTTCAGGGTGGTTAGGGTCTGGTAACAGCCAAAATAGCTGCACTCAGGTGTTCTCAACCTTCCTTTTCTGCCTTATCCCTATTTTGACTCCAAAGCTCACTTTTAACCATACACTAATAATTAGAAACAAAAAAAACACCCATTAAAAAGTTTTTTCAAGGTAAAACTTTTTTTTTTTTTTGAGACAGAGTCTTGCTCTGTTGCCCTGGCTAGACTGCAGTGGCATCATCATAGCTCACTGCAACCTCAAACTCCTGGGCTTAAGAGATCCTCCTGCCTCAGTCTCCCACCTCAGCCTCCCAGATAGCTGGGACTACAGGCTTATGCCACCACCCTGGCTAAGCTTTCTATTTTTAGTAGAGACAGGGTCTTGCTATTACTCAGGCTGGTCTTGAACTCCTGAGCTCAAGTGATCCTCCTGCCTCAGCTTCCCAGAGTGCTAGGGTTACAGGCGTGAGCTACCATGCCCGGCCAAGTTTTAGTTATTGTCATCATTAAATCAGCTTATCTCTTAGTTCATCTGGTTAATAGAATCACATTTCATTTCCCAGAGTGCCTGTAATTAGTACATGTAGTTATATATTTAACAGCTAAAATGTTGTGGATCCATAGTGTAATATTCATTGATCAGATTTGCAAACAATTCATTGATAAGTTGAATATTTTCACCTGAGTGAAAGGTTAACTAACATTTTAATTCAAATATATCAGTTTACTTCTGTTCCCTCTAGAGGTCACATTAGCTTCTCTGTGTCCTATTGTGTTCTAGATATAATAACATACTCATAGTACTATACTACCTTTATGTACAACTATGAAGTATGTGACTGTGGTAAATAGGTGGAGAGTCAAATGGAAAGTGAATTGTAAGGTCTTTGTATCTACTAGAGGAAGGAGGTTGACTACTTACCTAGAGCTAATTCCTTTTTTTAATTTGGCTTGGGCATATATTAATACCTACCATAGAGCAGAGAGTAGCAATTGGTGATCAAGGGCAGTACATGTGACTGGAAGAGGTAAGTGTAGGGGAGTAGTAAGATCACATAAGAAGGCAGGTGAGGAAGAATATTGGGCTAGCATGAAGAGTTTTAAATGCTAGCCCAGGGAGATTAGATTTAGTTTACAAAGCAGTGGGAAATCATTGATTGTTTTCCAGCAGGCAAATGACTTGATAGAATTTTACTATTTTATTTTACAAATAGCAGGTCAGAGCTCATCATTAATGAGTTGTAGAGTCAGTTTTATGGATTGAGATCCTAGCAGGAAAATGGTGGCATACTCAAATTGAGGAGGGCTAATTTGAAGTGGGTTTATTAAGAGACTACAGTAGTCTCCTCTTATCCACGGGGGGGTATGTTCCAAGACCCCTAGTGGATGCCTGAAACCTTGTGTAGTACTGAACCCAGTTGCCATCAATCGAAGCATGTTTCTGTTTGTGTCTTCCACCCATGAATTTAATGCCTTTTCTTTTTAAGCACACATCACAGTGTGGCTGTAACTTTTGCAGTTTGAGATGTGACAGCAAAACTAGTATGAATTTCTTTTTCCTTCTTCACAATTTCAAGAACAAAAGATTCATTCTTGCTGTAGATCTTAGCAACCTCAACATACAATTTTTTTCTTAAGTCAAGAACTTTTACCTTTTCACTTAAAGGAAGCACTTTATGGCTTCTCTTGGGCATATCCAAATTGCCATCATCACTACTCTTGTGATTTAGGGCCATTATTCAATAAAATAAGGGTTACTTGAATACAAGCATTGCCATACCCCACCAGTCAATCTGATGACTAAGATTGCTACTAAGTGACTGAGGGGCTAATAATGTATACAGCATGGATACAAAGAAATGAATCGTGTCCTGGGTAAGATGGAGCTGGGACAGTGTGAGATTTTGTCACACTCCTCAGAACGGCATGCAATTTAAAACTCATGAATTGCTTATTTCTGGAGTTTTCCATTTAATATTCTTGGACCACAGTTGACCTGAGGTAGCTAAAACCACAAAAAGCGAAATCGCAGATAAGTGGCGATTGTGATACTATTTTCAAAGGCATGGTGAGGTAGGAGAAGGAATGTCTACTACAGCCTGTCTTTGGAGATACCTGGAGAGTGGCAACGGTTTGCTGCTGTGTTGATAAACTCATACATAGGTTTCTAGGCAGAAATTCTCCTTTCCCCAGAGTTATAGCAGCTGCGTGGGACAGTGGTATCTTGGGTCTCCATGCCCTTTTGACTAGCCCAGGCATCACTGTTGCCTATTTTTTGGCACAAGTGGAAGTGTGAAGAGATGGACCAAACTGTATCGCTGTTCCTGCTACAGTACCCAAACCAATTGCCTGCCCATGCTTCTTGTTCCCTTTACCTATAGCCTCTAAGCTTGTAGAACCTTGGAATGGAAGTTGCTTCCATCCTTTGCTGTAGTTCTTTCCTATGCTGTCTTTTGTGGGTGTTGGGGATGTTTAGAACTTTTCTTGTTCAGTCTGATGCCTTCTGCTTTTAAGGATTCTTTCTAATATGTAGTCTATTGAGAGGAACTTCTTGTTTTCCAGTGTCAATATAACTTAAAAAATTTTTTAAACTTTATGTATGCATGCGTGTGTGTGTATATATATATACACATACGTGTACACACACATATATAAGTAAAATGACATAAGGCTGTGGGGAGGGTAAGCTGGATCATTGGCTTAGTTTGTCATCTTAATCCAATGCCTAGGAAGGCATCTTGTATTATCCTGATTTTTTTACCCCCTTTAGATTGCAGGAGCTTATTAGTGATAAAAAGGCTGAGGACACAGAGAAAAGAGATGAGCCCAGCAAATATAACCAGCAACAGGCCCTAATTGACCACAGATACTTTCAGGTATTGAATCTTGAAAAGATTGGTGTTTATAATGAATCTTGGTTTCAGTTGCTGTATAATAAATTATCACTTGGTAAGGAATACTCGTATCCTGTATTTGTGTATACTTACTTTGTCTTGTCTTGCCATGACATATCTGTTTGACTAAAAACATTGTAGGTATCTCAGTTTAGAATTTGTCTTACCTTTTAAAAGAGATTCTGTAACATCTATTGGATGCTGGGCAGGGGGAAGGGGGAGGTGGGAGGAGGGGACGGGTATATGCATACACAA